CAAAGCGGCAATTAATCGTTCAAAGTCCACTTATGTTATTCTGTGTGCTTAAGATCTTTTTTTTTCTTTCTACAAGTTATCTTAAGGGTTTTTCCATTGTTTTAATTTTAGTTTTAATATGACATTATAATACCATGCATATTTTTCCTTTTTTTATTTAAAGAAGAAACCAATCCAATGAATATATGCCATTTGAGGCTTAATGCTATAGAAAAGCAATAAAGGTTTTTCAGTTTGAGGGTTTTCAGCTTGTTTATTTTCATCTAAAAATATGGCATGCGGTTGCTTCAAACAATGATATAACATCATTCAATGTAAATTGTGATAATCATAATTAATAATCGCAATTACAATTTCAAGGGAATAATCGACAATTATGATTTTTGTCATAATCGTGCAGCCCTACTCCGAATTAACTTCTTTTGTGGACGCGTTCTTCACGCAACAACGTGCAGAAACACGGCAACTAAACTCTAAAAATTCAGCGTTTTATTGTAATAGTGTTCTCATTATAATTGTTATGTATATGACGGTCCCAGTCATAGTTATTAATATTCTGCATTGTTGTTTGTCCTGCTTGCGCTGCGCACTGAAGGGATAATCACCGTAGTACTACAAGCGCGTTACTGCAGCAAAACTCAACCAAATGCATCTTTTCAGATTCTTATTTACAGCATTATTTTAATAGGCTGTGTATTAACTTATTGGGAGAAAACCAGTAGCTCTGTGTGAAATCAGACATTTGAGCACCCCCATATAGCCAAAATGGCATGATCATAACACTCCACGAATATTCGACTGTGAGATTGGTAGTCGAACCAGGCTCCTCCTATCGAAGCATCGAATCTTCGACTATTCGGGGTCACCAAATATACATATTAGTGCTGTCAATCGATAAAAAAAAAAAACGAATTAATCGCACATTTTTCTGAAATTAATCACAATTAATCCTACCTAACATTAACGGTTTTTAAATATACTTTTATATTGCAATAATTTCCCATTCAATCTTCAAATTAATGTATAAACAACATAAAGACAGTATATTTTGTAATATTCATTTAATGGCATCTTTTTTTTTTATGACTGAAGGCCAGTATCAATGATACCAATACTGATCTCTCTATAAAATTGCCCCCCCCCCAATATTTAACCACTGACTATAGCCATTCAACATTACAGTATAATTGAGAGCTATCAATTTTAACATTTATTAGTCTAAAAAATAACTTCTAATTTAAGTGAACTTAAAACAATCTTCACATAAACCCATTATAATAAATATCATATTTACCTGTGCCCTAAAGCAGAAATATGCAGAAATTGAAGTTATCAAACACTAAATTCTAAATTAAATATAGATGAATCCTTAAAGCTATAAAAGTTATTTTTTCCTCTTTTTTTTTCTATATATATATAAAAATGTCGCACTACAAAAACACATTAAAAAAAGGCAAGCAAAACTTTTCTCAGAAATAAATTTCTGAGCCATTTTTGGTATTTATTTTTGCCTTTTAAGGCAGCTTTAATCACCTTTTTGGTAACTTCATGACTTAACTGACCACGACATTGCATGCACGTAGTTTATTTAGCACCTTGATATGAAAGGATACAGACTACAGCGCGCACCGGTGTCTTTGTGCGTGCAATTGAAGAGCACGCGCTGCGAGCACAGTACCGTTTCCGCGCTCGCTTGACTCGTGCCTGGCTCTGAAGTGAAGTGGAGCGCGCGTCTGAAACGTCTCCCGTTTTCAGTCGTTCTGCGACTGAATAAATGCACTTCTTGTCAAGAGAAAAAGTGACAGAAGCGGCAGTTGTGAGTGGGGTGGCCAACCCTAGCCCCGCTATATATATATAAAAATGTCGCACTACAAAAACACATTAAAAAAAGGCAAGCAAAACTTTTCTCAGAAATAAATTTCTGAGCCATTTTTGGTATTTATTTTTGCCAATTGGTGCCAAGGTAATTTTAATCACTTTCTAGGTGTTTTTTGTGTTTCACTTAAATAGTTCTGTAGCATTACATGAATTTTTAAAAGTGCAAATATTCCACGTGGTCTCTAAATGAATACAAGGTCATAAAAAATGCTTGCAAAAAAACAAGCCGCAGTGGCCTGTTTCAGATCTCGTACCTGGACGTGGCAGGATGGGATGAGTTTGGATGTCAGATAAATATACACCCAACCCCCCTGATGGAGACCAAGTAACAGCATGAGGATTTATTTCAGCGATCAGAGAGCTAATACTGTTGGCTTTCAATTCAGTGGCTTAAGATCTGTTATCTATATCTAGAGAGCATCCATGCCAGAGCTGTAATTAAAACAAGGACTCTATTGGCAATTTGAGACGAAGCCTTTTAAAGAAAAAAACCCTCCGTTTTCCCTCTGCTCTCCCCAGAGGAAGCTAAACCTTCTCTGAATCTGGCATCTAGACTGCACTGCTGAATAGACAAAGTACCACAACTCTGTCATAATTTCATACTTTCAATGGATCGTTCAGCTGTACTCACTGCAATGTGTTTTCATTCATACATTTGTACAGTGTCGGCAGGAGACCAGTTTGCTGTTCCAGTAGTGGTACTGGCCATTGAAACAAATCTTGTTTTTTTCATACACAAAGGCGTCTATTCATGTAACTGCTGTGCAGCTGACAACAGACCCGCTCTCAAAAATAAAAGACCAAAAAGTCTTTGAAGTGTGTTTCACACCAGCACAGAATCAAAAGTAAAAGGTAGTTTAGACACAGCTTATTTTTGAGAGCAGGTATAAACAGCTTGGTCTATACCTGCCTTATAACTGTTTTGTTTTGTTTAAATACTTGCTTTTTCCACAATGTTAAGCAAAAGAAATGAATCTGGAAGTGATGTGATTAGAATAGCTGGATTGAGTTGTTGAATAGAAGTTGAGTATTTATTGGAAAGGCCACATGCATATATGCGCATATACACATTCTCTAAACTAATGGTTCTCAAAAGGTTTTTTGATTCCTGTGAACTTTGTCTGAGACAATATTCAAAGGCCATTCTATCTAACCTGATGTGTATATAAAAACAAACAAGATTAAGAAATAAGATACACTGCTGTAACCATAAGCTATGCAGTGGATGAACTGTAATTTACAGTGAGCCACTTTACAGTGAACACAAATTGTGGTCAAAAGTGGTTGACTGGTTTAGGTTTTGTTGTTCTTGGACAAAACAAAAATCTCTGCTTTCAAAATTATCCATATTCATATCTATTAGTTAGCTAGATGAAGTAACTTATAAATATATTGTTAAATTTGTGCTTGTTATAAATGTTATTTTTACTGAAAATTCTATTTATTTCATGTGCATACTATTAATATGCAGTTATATAAGTAATTTATATAATGTAAATGTATATTATATAACTAAATAAATAATTATTTACAAGTAAAGTAAATAAACATTAATATTATTTTAATATTAAAATAAAATAAATAAATAAAAATAAATAAATATGGGTTAAATATTTACTGAATTGTCAAGACAGAAAAAAACTGAACTGTTATGGCAAACTCATTGTGACATCTAAAAATGCACATTTCCATTTATTTATTTATGTATGTATGTATATATTCTGGCACTAAGTGCTGCTCTGTTTGTGTGTTATAACTAAGCCAGAAGCTTTATTTATTTTTTTCTGTAGCTTATTTCTGCTTCCTGCAAAGCTACTTTTAAAGTAAGTGTTTTTAGTAAAGTGTAGTATTACTGTATGGACCAGCGTTATAATTGTATAGGTTTAAGTGTTTCAGTCATGTGGCACTTGCTCTCCCAGTGTGGGAGTTTGGAGCAACTCCTTTGAGCAAACAGATAATCTGATCTCTGACCTGAGCTAATCAGGCACAAATTTGGCATGTCAGAAGCCTGTCTTCACGTCCTGCGCCTCCACTTCTATTTACATACTCCCTGAACCTAGATTTTCCCTTTTTTGTCTTTAGTCTTTGTGACATCTGAGTTCATCCATCCTCTCTTAAATTGAAACATTATGACATCAACACCCTCCCCCCAAAAAGCTCTTGTTGAAATCTGATTACATAACAAGATTAACCCCAGAAATTTAGACCTGCCACCTAGTGCTGCTAGTCCAAAAAAAAAAAAAAAAAGTAGGAATGTTTGTTTTTGAGAGCAGTTCTTTTAGGTTCAGGTCTTTACCGTTGCCTTATAATTTGTTGATGGCAATGATGCATTGATTTTAGACATTTTAGGAATGTACATGTTAATACCTGTTGCAGAGCTGGAATTCAACAAGATGACAGTAACAGAAGATGCACCAACCCACACTTAAAAAGGAGAACACGGTGTTTTTAGAAAAGGGCGCAGCGGTGCTTAGCAGACAGTTATCTGTGTTTTCTCTGTAAACAGCCTATTCGCTGCAGGGTTGTATTGGGATGTGGGAGATTAGCTTTTCATCAAGACTAAAGGAAAAGCTCCAGTGAAGGAAGGAGATTGTGGGGAGGAAGAGGAGAAGCCTAGGGCAGTTGCTTTTCTTTGTTAGGCTTTGTGCTGTGTGGCCTTGCCTGTTTGTTTTCCATACTCTGCATCTGAACAAGCCTCTTTTGATTTCTCGCAGGACGGTGTCCTACAGTTCCAGCAGACCCAGGCCTGGGGAAATCATTAACCGAAAAAAACAGCACAACAGGACACTGGTAGGTTGTGTGGCCTTACCTCTCTGTCTTGTACAGTAGCTGAATATATGTGATATGCTCCATCAGAATGAGTCATGTAAGTTGTAATGGGCAACTTTTGATAATTTTGGATTTTGCTGTTTTTGGAAAAAAAAAATCAAAAACATTCTATTTACCTTAGTTATTTATCTATATTAGGGCTGTGAATCGATTAAAGTATTTAATCGAGATTAATCGCATGATTGTCATGAGTTAACTCGTGATTAATCGCAACGTAATCGCACATTTTTATGTGTTCTAAATGTACCTTAAATTAATACTTTTCACGTTTTTAATACTCTAATCAACATGGGCATGGACACATATGGATGCTTTATGCGTGTCCATAGATAATTATGTTTCTGCTCCTTTAATAGTGAAGACAGGTGTTCCTCAAGGATCAATTTTGGGGCCAATTTTATTTTCTATCTATATAAATGAACTTGGTAAAGGAGTTGTACACTTTTATGCAGATGATACTATCATCTACTACACTATGGCTCCCTCTTTAAAAGTGGCAATGGACTCTTTACAGAATGCTTTTAATTTATTTCAGACTTCTCTTGGTAACTTAAAATTAGTGTTGAATGCTAAAAAAACTAAATACAAGATTTTTACACGGTCCAGATTATCATTTAATTATTTTATGATTCAAACTTTAAATGGTACACAGATTGAAACGGTCGCATCTTACAAATATCTTGGTATCTGGCTTGATGATAAGCTAACTTAGAGTTCTCATATCGATAGTCTTTTAAAGAAATTGAGACCAACGTTTATTTTTGTTTAAAAAAACGTTTATCCTTTGTTGCTCGAAAACGTTTAGTACAAAGTACTCTTCTATCAGTATTGGACTATGGTGATATAATTTATATGCATGCACCTCTGAATGTTTTGAAAAAATTGGATGTAGTTTATCATGCTGCTTTACGATTTGTTACTGGTACAAGTGTCCTTACACATCACTGTAATTTATATGAAATGACAAAATGGACTTCATTGTTCTTAAGGAGAAAAAAACATATGTTAATTTTTATTTTAAAAGCTTAGTGGGTAAATTACGTCGCTTTGGATAAAAGCGTCTGCTAAATGATTAAATGTAAATGTAAATGTATATATCTAGTTTGTTGACATACTGCACAAATTATTATTATTATGCACAAAAATTTATAATACCAGATCAACAGATAAACTCTTACTTAAGATGCCGATTTTTCATACAGCGATAGATCGTTCTGCTTTTTCTAATTATTGTCCGTATATATGGAATGAGCTTTAAGGTACATTACATATGGAACCTGTACCATCTCTCGCTATGTTTAAAAATATTTTAAAGTCTGTTTATATAGAACAGTGTACATGTTTTAATAACTGACTTGGATTTGTATTGTTTTTAAAAAATTGTGTTTTATGTTTGTTCATTGTGTGGTGATGTGTATTTCTTTGTAAATTTGTCCTTTGCTACCTATCTTAACCAGGACTCCCTGGTAGAAGAGATATTGTATCTCAATGGGACCTTCCTGGTTAAATAAGTAAATAAATAAATATATATATTTATATAAAATTTATATAAATTCAGTCTCTGCTTTTCATGAATAATATAATATAGTATAATATAATGTATTAAATTGTAATTATATTTCATAATATTATTATTATTAGCCTTGGTGAGCAGAAGACTTCTTTCAAAAACATTAAAACATTTTACTGACCCCAAACTTTTAAACAAGTCAGTAAGTAAATAAATAAATAAATATATGAGAATTTTTCTTATCTTAAGTTTTCATGACCGCCACCATTTAATTAAACGCTTTGGAGTCAAAGCATAATTATGCCTTTAGTAAGCAGATACTTTCATCCTTTCTTCAGCACACAAAACTCAAAATGTGTTTCTGATTCAGAATGACACAAAATGATGTAGCACATCACATGTCCCTGATTAACGTATAGCGCTGACCGCTTCCGTAAGACTTCCTTGGCTCAACCAGGCTACCAAATAGGGTGAAATGCAATGGTCCAGAAGCTTCGGGAAAAATATACTCTTTATTGGGAGGGGTGGGCTGGTGTCCGAAAGCCTTTGTATAAATGGCATCTAGTCTAGCCATTCTTAAGAAGGAAATCGGAGACACACATTCTCGGAATTCCAGCCTACTGTATGTCTGGCTGAAAAATGTGCCCCTTCCCAGCGCAGAGAGTTTCTAATACCTCCAAATGGAATTCAACACCCTTTGAGTCTAGGCTTGCAAACTTAGCTTTGTATTCATGTAGAGGATGTGTTTTTCCAGCAGACTATCCCAGTATGACAGATGTCCTGCGCTGGGGTCTCAAGATGAAAAATAATTACGCTATCATTTGGATTAGGAGGTGTTTTCTACACCTAGTCTGCAGCTATTTAGTCTTCTACTGAAGCTTAGCAGGAAGGAAAGCAGTTTTCCTCTTTCCTCTCTACTGTCCCGCAGGCAACTGCTGTAGATGAAGCATAATTGCAGTGTAATCCTGACCCTGGTCCGAAGGCTTTAGAAAAAAGCAGCAGAATAGATAATACCAGCTGTTTGCTGTTGCACAGATGTTGGAGAGAGCACCTCTAAACCTACCGTGTTGCACTTTCAGTTTGGTCATCAGCGTGCGAGGAGGAGCAGACATGTTCCCAGATGGACAAAGATATGTCTCTGCTGAATAGTGGAAAAATAGTAGCTATTATATATTTCAATTTATATGATGCTGAAGAAAAACATATTTGAGCACATTTATTTGTTATTTGTCTTTACTCTTTATCAGTTAACACCTCATAAACGAATGCTAACTCTAATGCTGAAAATACCCTTCATATGGAAAATATAACTATAATTTGTTTATATACCGGCTTTTGTTCAACTAGTTTTCTAAGTGATATCCATCAAAACTACTTTCTATTGTGCTGCTACTTATTGTGTTCAATGAAATTATAGTGTATATTCATACACTACCATTCAAAAGTTTGCAGTCAGTATGATTATTTTTCTTTGAAACAAATTGATACTAGATCAGCAAGGAAGCATTACATTGATCAAAAGCGACAGTAAATGCATTTATAATGTTACAATTATTTCTATTTCAAATAATTGTTGTTCTTTGGATCTTTCTACTCTGGGGAAAAAATAAATAAATCAGTGTCAGAGTTTCCACAAAAATACAGCACAGCTGTTTTCAACATTATTTAATAAGAAATGTTTCTTGAACACCAAATCAGCATATTGCTATCAAAGGAATAAATTACATTTTAAAATAGACAACATTTGTTTTAAATTGTAATAATATTACACAATATTACTGTATTTTTGATTGAACAAATGCAGCCTTGGTGAAAAAAACAAACATTAAAGGGATAGTTCACGAAAAATGAAAATTCTGTTGTTAATTACTCACCCTCATGTTGTTCCAACCCCATAAGACTTTTGTTCATCTGCGGAACACAAATTAAGATATTTTTGATGAAATCCATGAGATTTCTGATCGAGAATAAGTTGTGATGAGGACCGGCTACATATTCTCGTAGCTTCAGAACATTATGGTTGAACCACTGATGTCACATGGACTATTTTAATGATGTCCTTACTACCTTTCTGGGCCTTAAATGTGTCTGTTGCATTGCTGTCTATGCAGGGTGAGAAAGTAGGGATGCACCGAATGTTCAGCAACCGAAATTATTCGGCCGAAAATAGCCAAAAAAGCTATTTTCGCCAAATAAGCAAAAAGACCGAATAAATTGTACCGAACAATGATATGACGCGATCAAATAGCAACCAGCGCAGAGTGAGAGGCGCCCACTCTTTATAATGCAGCACACACGTCAGCAGTGTGGAAGCATTTAAACTGTCAGAGAAAGACGCAAAAATCATTGCACGCACCGACAGCGAGAGACTGTTTAGGACTGCATCGCATGTCTTCAATGAGAAGAGGAAGGGGTGTGATTGTTGCTGGTTACTGTATGATGATTGAAATCGCGAAATGTTTTCTAATACACGCGTGCATTGCATGTATTCTGACAGCGCTGCACGAACTCGCAGCAGATCTGCTTGTTAACCAGGGTTCAAAGTCCAAAGCGCGAGAAAAATCTACGCTGACACAGTCGTCAGTTGTTCAGTCACATTTTTATGCATTTTTACAAGGCATGTGACAATGCGATACGTACAACGTATTCGTAATGAGACTCATTTATGAATCTGTTGTCAACAAAAATAAGCATTGAGGTCTTCCGGCGCATTGTTTGGTTTCGGCTTCTGCCAAGAATTTTCATTTCGGTGCATCCCTATGAGAAAGCTCTTTGATTTCATCAAAAATATCTTAATTTGTGTTCCGATGATTGAACGGAGGTCTTTATTAATGTAATTAATGACAGAATTTTCATTTTTGGGTGAACTATCCCTTTTAAACCCTGAACTTTTGAATCTTTTTAAGAGCAGAAACCACTGGTTCATGCTACACACCCCATTGTTCAGTGTTTTACCAGACAAACCAGGTGAACTGTTTTTATTAAAGAGAAAAAACACTGTAGATAAAAAGGAACACATTTAGAAACACAGGGTAGCATACAAATGCAAAGTTAATGGGTAGCAGTTAAGTTTCCAGAACTTTCCCTGCATAAAACACCAAGATCAGAATGAATTACCATGTTGGTTTATGCTGGTTTGGTGTTATTAGTCTGGCAGGTGGGCAAACCCTAACCCACAAGTGGTGAAGCTGGTTGACCAAAGAACTTGCTGGTTAAACTAGTTAGAAGGTCTGGTGGGGACATCAGCTCTCAAAACATAACATATGCTTCTGAACAGCTATACTTGTGTTCTCTTTGAAATTCTGAAATTGGTGTTGCAGAAAAGAAACAAGAGCCAAATGTGATATGCATTTTCTTTAGCGGACTCTCAAGAGGTAAGAGGCCCTGTACCTGTGTTATAGGGCTTCACGCTTTGGGGTTAGAGGGGTGTTGGGGGAACTAGAGTTTACAG